GTTTTAGGGCAATACACAACATTTTAAGGTCTTCTTATAGTTACTACTTTTTAAATTAACCTCTAGCTTCGCTAATGTTCATTTACAATTAGTTACCCTGATCTCAATGTGCAGGTCTCTAGCATTTATGAACTTACGCATTGGGGACACTTGGGGATTTAGGAACAGCAAGAGTAGAGAGAATTTTCTATCATGAAACTGGTCAATGGGAAAATAAAAGAGAAAAGAAATTGACTTGTGTTCTAAACCTGAGAGAGAGAGAGAGAGAGAGAGACAGAGAGAGAGAGAGAGAGAGACAGAGAGAGAGAGACAGACAGAGAGACAGAGAGAGACAGAGACAGAGAGAGAGAGAGAGAGAGAGAGAGAGAGAGAGGAAATATCAGGCTCATCTGAACTCTTACTGCCCCTAGACAGGCTGCAATTATCCTGAATAACTCCAGAACCACTAACCAACAAAGCACATGATTCCTGCCATTTAATTACTTGTTTATGTTTATGTATACAGATGTATGCATGTATCTATTGCTCCTGTTTGACACATAGTACAGAAATTATGGGCTGCTGAAATTATGGTAAGGAGCAGCTAATGTTCCAGAAGGAATTTCTTGCTTTGTAAGTAAAGGCAAAATATGTGGGATGAAAACTATGGTAGAAAACTGTGCAACGTGTAGTTTTAACACCCACTGCTTTTGAAATCTGTCAGAAACCTGTCAGCAGTGTTTTTCCTCAGAATCATAAAGCTTAAAGACTATGAAATGTTCTTTTCTTACAAGGATAGGCTGGTTGGAGGGATACATTCCTTTTTTTTCCAAAACATACCTCTGTAGAACCAGCCTGTGGAGAAGTGGGGGAGCAACTGAGTGGTGACACAAATGACACAGGTAACTGCAGAGGTTGAACCCATGCTTGATGCTCGCACTGTGCCAGGGACGACAATGGTCCCTTCCTTCCTGCACCTTTTATAAGCCCTGGGCTCCTGAGAGACTGAAGCATCAGTGAGCTTCTGAGATCTTTATGGAAAACCACTGGCCAGCCATTTCTTCTTCTTCTACTTTAAATCTAAGGTTTTGTCACAGCCCATAGCCACAGTCTGTGGCACCACATCATTGTGGTCATAAAAGATATTCTGCAGTGTTTTGTGATGTCCTAAGTCCCCTGAATTAGTGCTCATTATGCGTGTCTCACACAATCTGAGGGTCAGGAAGGTGGGAGTGCCCTTGGCCTTCCTCTCCTCCTATCAAAACCATGAAAACTTTCATGCTTCTTTTTTCTTTTCCTTTTTCTCTTTTGAGAAGCGGCATCCTAAGCACAAAATTCTTCTCTGATAATTCTTATAAAACACTTTTGTGCTTCACCCTCTAAGGAATGAGAATTGGACACGTAATTCTCCACTCATTTCTCAAGTGTCAGGAGAGAATTGCGTTTAAGGTTACACTGTCTATCTAGATGAATTAATATTCAACACAGCTTTGGGAAAATCTCAGATGATTTGCAGGTTTGCAAATTGTTCAGACCTGTAATAAAATCTCAGGCCGAGGAAATCACTAAATGCTTCATGACATGAGCTTTCCTCCCAGCGGTCCCCTGTATTGGACTGATTTGCTTATCTGGCTCCCCTGCCCATCCGTGTCAGCAAGCCAGGGGCTGCTTGGGAAAGTCACGTACTTAACTAACACAGAGCCACTGCAGTTATTAGTCTTACTATGACTCTCCTTGAGGCCTCCAAATTCTGCTGTGGATTCTTTTTTTTTTTTTTTTTTTTTTTGTCTTTTTCGTTTTTATCGGTACCAGGGATCGAACTCACGACTGCCTGCTTGCAAAGCAGGCGCTTATGCCGCTGAGCTAAATCCCCAGCCCCTCTGCTGTGGATTCTTGATCTACCCTTTCCCAAACTGCCATGCTGATGTCAATCTCCTACCTGCCACTTTCCTCCTGGTCAGCAAAGGACAGTCCGTGCCCCCATCCATTCCCACTCTTCCTTTCGGAGAACGTAGGATGTGTGTCCTTCATATCCAGGGCAGTACTCTGTACCCTCAAGCACCTCAAACTAGCACATATTCGAGCCTGTGTATTCAATTCTCTGTCTTAACTGATGTTGTACCTTCAGAACGTAAACTGCTTCTTTCCTATGCGCACACTTCACTTGATTCCACGAGCTTCTACCTTCCTCTTCTGTGCAGCTAAGCTTTAAGCTTTTTCTTCCTCTCACTCCTTCCTCATCTCACACAACCTGAATCCCACCTGGAGCACCTACCAAGACCCTTGGCTCAGAGGTCTTAACGCACTCAAACGTCCTCCTTTTGGGCAAATCAAATGGGCCTTTCTAGCCTTTCCCTGCTTGATTACTCTGAAGCACTGACAGCTGACTGTCACCTACATCTCGAAACTCTTTTTAGGTAGTTTCTAGTTTAAGATGGTACAACGGGTGATTTAAAAAATTTTATGATGGTGTGAAAGTGATATGCATTCAGTAGTAACTGAAATTCAGAGTCTGAGTTGACCTTTCCCTAGGCTAGGGACACATGGTCCCTAGATCACTCTTGGTGCTGAGCAGCATCCAGGAAGGGCAGCTCCCAGGGCGTCACAAGGATAAACAACTGGGGGTCTGTAGCGTAGAGCATGGCTAAGATGTGAGGTTAGTGGATTAAATGTGTTAAATGCATTTTCAACTAATGGCATTTTGAATTTATCATGGAAATATTGAAATATAACCCATCACACGTGAAGGAGCTTCTGCACTTCTTTACACTCCTCTTCCCAGCTTTTCTCCTCCATCTTCCCCATTCCTTTTAGATTCCTCTCTTTATGCTTAAACATTCAGTGTTAGCAGGATACCATCCTTGGGTTCTAATTACTCTGATCATTGTTCCTGGAATATAATGTAATAGATCCCCAAATCTCTGTCTCCAGGTGTTATAACCCATTTAGCAAATATTACCACTTGGATGGCCTTAACCTCAGCATGTCCAAAGCTAAACTTTCATGTCAATGTTATTAGTTGGTTTTCCCATTGCTGAAACACAATCCCCAACATCCACAACCAAAGGATGAAAGCTTTCATTGGCTCAGGAGTTCAGCAGCTTCAGTCTAAGTCTGTTCGACTCCAAGGGAGAAACATCATGGCAGAAGCGTATGGGGGTAGAAAGATGCTAGTTTATGATGCCAAGAAAGCCAAGCAGAGTAAGAATACCAGAGTGGAGCAGACCAGGCACTCTACATAATACTCAAGGTCATGACACACTCATATACCCAAAATTATCCTACTAACCTGCCAGGTGTTTATTAATCCAATATAGTTGACATATCACAATTAATGGTCACACTCACCCTTGTTCCAATCCATCTCTGAAAGTCAAAAAAATTATTGCTGTGCACATCAAACCTGAAAGCTTTGCACAGTTTAGACCCATCTTCCTTGTTTGTCATTTACCATTTAATCAGTCCTCAGACATGTTTATTCTACCTTCTAAAGGTGTTGCCTTACAGTTTGCCTCAAAATTTCTGATTGCTTCTAGGTATCCCTCTAAAATGTGGTTTCCCACAGCTGTGAGGCAGACTCCTGAGTTTGGCATACAAGGTCCTTCATGACTTTTCATCTGCCAGCCTCCCCAGCCAGATCACTTACCAGTTTTCCAAATGGTGTGCATTCTTCCCACAGACTGTAACTGGATGTTTCCTAAAAACACTAAATAATTTCATAGTTCCCTGTTGTATATTCCCCTCCCTCTGCTTTGAACATTCTTTCTGGTCCCTGTCTCAGCCAATAGTTTCTTAACACATTTAGATCACTTAGGAAATGTTATCAATCACGGCTGCTGGTTTTCTTCTCATCCCTCTCTACTCTTCCTCTAGGTCTTCGTAGCAAACCTGTGACAGCATTAATGATAGTATGTTGTTATTGATTATTTGTTTTATTTACCACCAAGTTCTAAGTTTCACTTTTCTCACCTTTTTCAACTCAAAAAGAATTTGACTATTTCTATTTAAAATAACAAAAATCATCTAAATTTTCCAATGAAATTAGGGTGAAAACGATAATGAAGATGACAATGGTGGTGATAAGAACTACCTATATTGAGTTCTGTGTCCCAGTAAGTGCTAAATGTTCTCCATTTTCATCTTATTATTAATCTTACTTAATGGACGAGAAAACTGAAGCTGAGGGAGGTGAGAGCCTATGGTGAGGCAGAGTTTGAACACATGAAATGTTAGAGATTCAAACTATAGCAAATATTATCCATGTCCCAGTTCTAACTTTATTTCTATTACTTTATGAGACATGGCTTGGAAAGGCAATTCAAAATGTTTAGTATCAATCTACTTTTTGTTATTTTAAATTGTCTCTAACTAAAACCCAGATCTTCTCTCAAGTTTACATTCTAGAAATGGAAATAGTAGGAATAATAACCAAATCACTGGGCAAGATATTATCCATACTAAAACTTACAAGTGTTCGAGAATTGAAAAGATGTCGTTTGAACTGGCAAAGGAATCCTGTACTCAGAAAAGTCGTTTCAGAGGTGGCCACCCCTGCTATGTTCCTAGAAAACTCAGGCCTAATGGGTGGAGATGGAAGGCACATGAAGAATTTATGGAATTTCAGGAGTACTCATAAGAAATAGAACAACAAATCCTATTACCTTGCTTTATGGCAATGGAGTTAAACAGAGGTACATTTTTGGCAGAGTCTTTCTGCCCACAGGGAAGGAAAGAAGAGGGTGTAGTCACTTCCATATCTAGAAACTTCCATATCTCTTCATGGAGTTGAGGAGTTGAGGTCCAGGAAACTTTAAATTGACAAAGTTTCCCTCCTAGAATTCAACGCACCCTAGTATTATTTGGTGCATTCTATCATACCCACTTTTGGAACAAATAGTTGAGTCTTTTGAAAGGTAGCTGGGAAGTCTGGAAGAGGAATGGATTATCCTGGGGCTTCGTATTTGAGCTCAATGGGATTCTTGTTTTAAAAAAATTACTGATGCTCTTTTCTCAAACTGTAGATCTGTGCTGCGCCTGCTCAAAAAGCAGCTCAGTGACTTCGGCTCTTCTCCTTCTCAGAAGATGGCAAATGCTTTCATCTCATGAGTTGGTTTCTCTATGATTTCTTATGGCTGCATTTACTTAAGAAAAATAGTAATCGTGAACAACCTGAAGTCAGTAGTGGTCAACTCTGGCATGGCTTCTTGATAAATATGTCAACCTTAAGCTTCCTTCTTTCAGCTTATGAATGTGCAAAGAGTTGTTTTTAAATGTCTGGCTTACTATTTTTAACACACTGCATATGAAAGATACTTTAAAAACTGCAAATCTGGTTGCACTGAGAGAACATGGCGGACAGACAACAGCAACTACTGAACACTCTCTAAAGGCTCGGCTCAGAGGCCAGGAATGATGCGGACTAAGGAGATACGAACCAGTAGAGATATGCTCTGCTGACTCAGGAACGAACTGGGCTGAGAGAATCCAACTTGGAATACAGTCCTGGCGCTAAAATAGGAACAGAAAAATCTCGGTGTGGAGGCTCGACTCCGCGCCATTGGAAACCGAGGTTTGGATTTCCCGCCGCCCGGCGGCCGGCTACCTCCACAGCAGCTCGGCAAGGAGAGACGCGACCGCCGAGCTCTGGGAACGGGAGTCTCCGAACGGAGTCGGAAACGCGACGGACAGGGAGGAAGGCTGACTGGTGGCGAGGTGAGCGAGGAACTGACTCCCTACCGCAGTTTGACTCCAGCGGAGGTTTTTCTGGGCGCGGGCAGTCCTGTAAGAGCAGGGCGCGGTGGCAACTGCAGCCGCACGTTTCCCTCTCGGACGGGATTGGTGAAAGGTGCCTGGCCGGAGGGACACTGCTTGCGGACTCCCTAGGCTGGCCTAACCCAGATCCCAGAGCCTGACGGTGGCCCGGAGGAGCGACTGACTCCCGCGTAGGCTGCCTCCTCCGCAACTCCCTGGGGCGCAGCAGTGAGCGGGAACAACTAGCCAGCGCAATTTGATCAAGCTGTGGCTGACAGGCAGGGAAGCCGGGCCTCCTGTGTAAGATTACATTTTATAAGGAACAGAAAATATGGGGAAGGGAAGCAACAAAAAAGGCTCCTCAACCCCCAATCCTGAGAATCAGGCAATAGTGGACACTGCACCAATATACATTAAGCGCCATTTAGAGAGCCTCATAGACCAATTCAGGAATGAAGTTATCAATGACCTGAAGCTAGAAGTATGCAGAATAGTTAGAGAAATGCTAAGCACCACCCAGGAAAAAGCAGATGGTGGAATGGAAGAACAGAAAAAGAGGGGAGAATTGCTTGATGGAGAAAACAGAGAAAGCATTGAGTATGTGAAGCAGGTGCAAAGGGACTATCAAGAAATTAAGAAGTCTACCCAAGACTGGCATAACAGCTTGAAAGAAACTAAGGACAGACTATCTCAATTGGAGGGCAGACTTGAAACATGGGAGAATGAAATGAAAAACTTCTTAAAAATAACAAAGAAACACACAGCAATAATACAAAGACAAGAAGATGATAAGAGGAGCCATAACTTAAGGATTAAGAACATAAAAGAAGAAGTAGGGACACAAACAAGTGAACTACAAAAGCTACTCACAGAAATAATCCAGGAGAATTTTCCTAATTTAGCAAAAGGTAAAGATACTCAAATGTATGAGGCATACAGGACCCCAGCTACCTACAACCCTAACGAGAAACACCCAGGCATATAATAATAAAAATTCCAGAAATTCAATACAAGAACAGAATATTAAAAGCTGTAAGAGACAAGAAACAGATCACTTACAAGGGAAGACCCATCAGAATTACACCAGATTTCTCTTCACAAACCATCAAATCACGAAGAGCATGGGGAGAAATAATTCAAGCTTTGAAAGATAATAATCTACAGCCAAGATTGAGATATCCTGCACAACTGTCCCTGGAAATTGATGGAAAAACGAGGTGCTTCCAGGATAAAGAGGAACTGGGGGAATTTGCAACCACCAATTCAACCCTACAGAAAGTATTGCAGGATATTCTAAAAAAAGAAAAATACAAAGAACCCAGAAATAGGGGCGGGGAGGCCACAACGAATGGAGCAGAGAACAAAATGAAGAAGACAAACTGACAGCTACTGACAGAAAAAGAGCTCAACAGAAATGAGACAGAAGATTGGATGATAGGAACAGCTTTTTTTGGAGAAAATGACATCTTAATAGGTAATGCTGATTTAGTACCATCTTGTTTTGAAGTCTCATCTAGCTTTTGTTCTTCTGTCTCCAATGGTCTAAACAGGTTGTATCTTATTGGATTTTGTTATGTACGATAGTATAAGAAAAAACCTTTTAAAGACAAGGAGATTATACAGAGACCATTGTTCATTTTCTGTTAGTCGATTCTAAATACTCTATAATGCTGTCATTCTCTTAAATGGATTTACATTGTTTTGATATACTTAATGCTACAGTATATGAAGTTGTACTCAAGGACTTCAGGGAGGGAGTCAATATGGTAACTATTTTTGGGTCAGGATTAGCTGGTGGTGAAACACTATTCTGCTTAAATGGTTATGTTTTGATCTGCCCTGTTTCGCTGTTATGCCCTCCTTTTTCTCAATCTCCACTCCATTATTTACTTTTTTATTTTTATCCATTTAATTAAAGGGAAAAATATAGCAGGATATAATATAGTAACCCACTTTGACTTTCTATTATCTCGATTTGAAGCCTTGTATTACTCTCACCATCTTGTTTTTGACTGAGGTTCCTATATTCTGTTTTGCTGGATAGTATCAGGTTCGAAAGTTTAGGCATCAGCTGAGAAGATAATGAGATTCATTATAACGCCCATTCTCGTTGACTTTTATCTACTTTTGAAGACCTACAATATCTCCAATGTTTTGGTTTTGTCGGTTTTATTCTTTACGGTTTTGTTCAATTGTATTACAACTAATGATATAGGCAATTCTATTAGAAATAGCGGGAGGCATTATGGTAACCATTGTTGATCACCTTGTATTATGTTTTTATATTATCTATTATGTCCACCCTTTTGACTTGACCAATTCTGTTCCGTTATGTCACATTTGGTTTTACTCTCTTCCAAAAAAGCAACAAGAACCGTGGGAGCAATGAAACCCAAAATGTGTAATAGTCACTGTACAAAAGAGAGGAAAAGAAAGTGCTCTAAACTATATAACTGCATGTATATTTAAATGTATAAGATAGAAAATGATAGCACAGAGTATTATTGGATCATTGAACAGAACTGTTTGCAGTATCATTGTTGGAATGTCCACTCTACAAGCTTTAATTTTGTGACTTAAACAATTATTTCTAAGATGGCAATATGTAATCCATTAACTAGTGATTTCCTACTGCGCATTTTTTTATTCTGTAAATCTGTATAACTTGTACCCCTTCACTGTTTTTTTTTCTTTCTTTTCTTTTCTCCTTAAATAAAAATTAAAAAAAAAAACTGCAAATCTGATTCAGCATACATATATGCAAATCAGCATGTGATCGTAACCTCTATTTTTCTAGAACCGTTTTTATAATAGATATTATCACAGCTTCTACTTCCTTTGTTAGTTAGCTGTTCTGGTTTGTTTGAAAGTTTCAAAGTCTTGCCTCATTTCAGAAGTAAAGGCAACCACAGCGTAGGCTGGTGGAGAGAACTGGAGTAAGAAAGTGCTGCGCAGAGCTTCACACTACCTTCCCTGCTTTATACTGCCCGCTGTTTCCTTGATCATGGTTTTCTGCATCTGCTTTCTATTTAGTTGGGCAAATGAGGTGCACCATGAGCCAAGCACCGTCCCAGGGTCCAGGAAGTCAATGCTGAGAAGTCAGTCTCCACCCTCCCACATCCAGTGCAGTGACAGCCTCTTTGGTGTGTCCCATCATCAAATTTTCTTTTCTTCCTTTCAATCTTCTTTTGGTCCATCAGAGAAAGACATATTCCTCGTCTCTGTATAGAAACTCTGCAGAAGGCCTACTTGTTCCTCTAGAGTTACTCTATATTTCCAAAAACCTTCCTCAAACATACCTCGAATTAATTTTGAGTGGTAAGTCTAGATAACATACCATGGCAGCACACCCCGGCTCATATGAGAACCTTGCTAAGATTCTCTTTAGATTGTATTCTAGGGCATGACACAAAGGAACTGACGTTTCTTGGCTCAAAGTGAACTCTCACACTCAGAGTGGATCTGTTTGCCCAGAGAGTCCCAGTGAATACCACACATATGTCTTTGAAGGGAGAAAGTTCTCCAGCAACTGGAAGGATGAGTGAGCTCCCCTTCCCATTTCCTCCTGTAGAGATAGAAGGTCTTATGCAAGTCAGATCCCAGAAACAGTCACGTGTTCCTCTCCAAAGGGAACAAGCAAACATAATTCTGTAATGATCTAAGGTTCTCTGTGTGTATGCACATACGTATAGGTATATATTTGTGTCTATGTTTATATACACATTCATATTTATAATTAAAATTTAGAAAATATTTTAATGGGAGAGATTAGCTAAGGGCAGTTAACAATAAGTTTAGCTTAATAAAACAAGTAGGTGTTTTTCTTCAAGATGCCAAATCTCCCAAGATGAATTTCCTACAAAAAGTCCCCAAACAGACTTACAAGAGTCAGGTGTTTTGTTTTGGTGGGTTCAACTTCACTGTTGTTCATTTAAGTTAAAGTAAAAACTTCAAATACATTCTTCTGAGTAAGTAGCTTTTCCTAGTTCCAAATTCTCACCACACCCACAATGTTTCAAAGGCTGTATATAAGTATTAAGTTGGTAAGAGAAGAAGGGAAAGGATTCAGTAAGAGTAACAAACCTTCATGAAAACGGTGAAGTTGACCAGAGCTCTCTTGCAAACAGTTGCAAGAGAGAGAGGAATGGGTCCATGACATAAGAAGAAAGACGAGAGATTCTAGAGGGGGGAAAAACATGATTCTGTGGGATGGAGGGATCGCCTCTGGTCAGAGTAATCTCACAGTGCAGTAAGAGAAATCAGCAGATCAGACATGGGGAGTGGATTTAAGTTTGTGTCATTTATTCAATAACTAGACAAACAACTTCTTCCAGCCTCATTTAATATCTGTAATTGGGAATTATACATAGGACATATATCAAATAAAATCAAGAAGGTACTATAGGTTAAAATTTTATAAACTCGAAGAACTATTTGAAAGTTGTCATTGTTATTGTCATTATTGATGACTACCATGTTCAGATTGGCCTTTTGACTGTGGTAGTTTTCTTACAGTGAAAAATTATTTATATAGAATGGCCCCAACCTGTGTTCAGGGAAGAAATAAGTTAAAAAATGAAATCAAATGATTGATTGCTAATTGGGTAAATTCAAAATAAGACAAATGAGACGATTATTTTAAGATTCCTAAGTAAATATTTAAAATGTATACAGTTATATTTGTATGATTAATTATATGCATTCATTTCACGGAGTTATTTTATAGGAGGTAAAGATCTATTTATTCTCTGAGTCAGCAGAGAACTTCATTGGAATAATATGCTAGCACCCTTGAATTGCTGGGAAATGTCAGGCAATGGTTTATTGTTGTTAACGATTCTTGGTATGTGCAACATTTCTCACCCCTTGACAAACATTGATTTAAACTTCCTTTCAAATATATTCTCAAATTAGAGTCATTATTTCTTTGTGTTTCTGAAAGCATAAATATCTGCTGGCTGTGACCTTAATGAAACTATCAAAAAAAATAGAGGTAGCTGCATATTTATAAAGTAGAGATAATTTTGGGAAGAATGACATTGTCTTAAAACAAATTTAGGAAGTATGTTCTGCACACAGCTGATCAAATTATATGAAGTTACAACATAGAACATTCCTGTAGTTCCCCCCTTTGGAGTCTTAAGCAGGCACCCTTAGTCAATCACACATTCTTTCCAAGTGAGTCTTGATTTGAGTGTTATGTCTCTTGTAGATATAGAGCACCAGGCAGCAAATAGCCAAAGGTTAGTATGTATATGGGAAAAGTGAAAGTTATGTACTATTCTGAATTAAAGAATGACTCTACAAAGTTTCAAATAGACAAGCACACTTGTCACTGTTAATGTCCTGCAAATGTGCAAGGGCGGGTGATTGGCAATGCATAAATTTAGAACTTATAGGAAAATATTATCTCACTCTTCCTTCTCACGGGTTATTTTCTTCATTCATTTGGTCCTCCTTTATTTATACATGCTCCTCGTTCCTTTTTCTTTTCCTTTTTTTTTTTTTTTTGTTGACAGTTCACCTTACATTGGGTATTAAAGAGGGAAAACAGGTAAATGCTGTTCTAGAAAAACATAAAGCATGATATCATTAGGCGGATGACATAGCCAAATCCTGCTCCCTTTGAAATCATGTGATTTCCTGGGCTTTTGGTTTCAAAAATGAAAATGCACTCAAACTGAAAAGAAAGTAAGAGCACTTGCAGAGCCACTTCTGATTTCAGAGAAAGCTGCTGGGGGAAATTCTTGTGGATTCAATTCTGATAGAAGCTGGAAGCTAAGGAGACCATAGAAATCAAATAGCTAGTCACTAAAGTACCTCCGTACAACCATTCTGTTCAGGTTAAGCTGCCCCTTTCCAGGAATCTAGAACAGAACAGAGAGAGATTCTGTGATGGGGAAGGCAGGAGGAGGAGAGTCTTTGTGTCCCATGAGGACATTGTGTGTGTTGCTGTTTCTCTGCATGCTACACCTAATGAAAGGTGGGCCGTCGTACAGCATTGGCCAAAAGTGTCCTTCCATTTACCTCTTTTTACCTACCATTTCAAGGATTCAGATTCTAATTAGAAATAGGATTTAGAGCTTCCAAAGGCTATATTCAGGCCTATGTGATTTAAGGCTAATTCTTAACATCCGTAGGTGTCACTTCCTGATTTCCAAAGTGAGGACACCAAAGATGATACCCTTGAAACAGTTATTGGGGGTATTAAGCCAGGCGGTCCACAGAAAACACCCAGCGCCATGAGCACCATTTCTAGATATGGGAAGTACTGAATAAATAGGTCTCTTGTTATCAGTGGTAATGCTTAGTTGTTCTAGATTCCTGTTTCCTCTGTATACATCACCTTACACTTACTGGCTTAAAACACACATTTGCTCTTTTACAGATCTTGGGGTTCAAAGTCAGACATCTACAGACTGAGGTCAAGGTGTGAGCAGGGACGGGTCCTTCTGGAGAGTCCACAGGGAGAGCCCGTTTCTTCACCTGTTAAGCTTCTGTGGTAGCCTCCTCCTCCAGCTTTACAGTGCCTCACTGCAGTCTCTGCTTTCTCTAGCGTATGGCCGTCTCCTCTGATTCCCAGGCTGCTCTTAGGCAGACCTTGTGATTACCTTAGAATCACCCAGCTAACCTAAGATATCCCTCATCTCAGAATCCTTAATGACGTCTTCAAAGTGCCATTTGCCAAAGAGTGATGACAGATACGAGCTCTGGGGATTACATACAGACACTTATAGGGACCATTATTCAACCAACCACATGGACTAAGTCAGCCTTTTGATTATTATTAAGATAATCAGCTCCATACTGTTATAATATAAAGTAATAAGCATAACCTCTGAGGGCACAAGGTCTTCAGAAGTCAATCAAACAAATCATTTAGAAAACTCAAAACTGTTTTCTGTATCTTCTTTCCTGTCTTATTTCTACTTGTTCAAGAAGGAAGATGGAATGGAATAAAACTGAATAGAAAGCATGAACCCCAAATTCAGACAGACCTGGACTCACTTTGCCAACTCTGTGACCTGAGAGCTAGTTGAGTCACCTTGGGGAAATCCCAGGACTGCCTTGGACATATTCCTAGAAAGCCTTTCCTGAGACAAGAATCAGGGTCAGACAGTTTATCTGAAAGGTGATTGATCTCAGGAAGCACTGGCAGGGAGTGAGGAAATGCATGAGAATGAAAGGAGGCGACATCAGCATGTTATCAAGGAGGTCGCTCCCGTGTGCCACTGACTGGCCCAGAGGAGAACATGCCTCAGAGGTAACCCACCTGAGGCGAGAATCCTCCCTCCTGGGCCTGAGACTGAACACAGAAGCATCATTTCCTGCACTTCCTGGTGCTCTTCATGCAGGCCAAGAAAGCACTCGGACTCTTCCCAGGGGACAGGCAAAATCTTGCAAGGAATGCCAAGTGCCACAGAGTGTGAACAAGGTATGCTCTACATCTGCTGGCGAGGCTACTCGAGCTGGAGTTCCTCTGAAATCTGAGAATCATAGTACTACTTGTCTGGTAGGGATATTTTGAAAACTATCTATAATTTATTAAATCACTTAGTAGTCTTCCTGGAATATAATAACTACCTAATAATTAGTGTCTTCTAAATGATGATATTGAAGGTTTTCATTTATTTTCTATGAAGGAGTTAGTTTGCACTTGGGAAGATCACTTAACATTTCTGAATACCAATTTTTTTTAAATCTCTAAATCAGAGAGGAGGGTCAACTAAACCATCTCA